GGCTATATATAGTCTCGACACAAGGCCAGTAACCCAGGTGTTACGCGAATGTTCTGAGGGTCGCGAAGCGTCCCGAACAGAACCTTCCCGAACTCGGTAGAAAGCAATTCGGTGGAAACCGAAAATGTTTTTAGTTCGGTACACGTAACCTGGTGCATTCCTATATGTTATTATGCTATAACTATAATAACATATAGGAATGCACCTAACCTAGGAAATCAAGCAGAAATACGAATGATAAAATAAACCTAAGCTAGTAATAGCATAATAAAGTCCAGGCAAGCTAGCAAAGCCAGCATAAGCCGTCGTACTCTTACACGCCCTTCCACCTTTTCCTACGGCGCACCAGTTCTCTTCACTCCTAAGCCACACGGTAGTTTACAGATGTGCATCAACTACCGGGCATTGAACAAACAGATAGTCAAGAAGAAATACCCCATACTGCGCATAGACAATCTTATAGACCAATTGCGTGGTGCAACGATGTTTTCGAAGTTGGGCCTACGCACGGGGTTACTGGTAAATCAAGATGGCAGACAATTCGATCCACAAGACGGCATTTCGTACCAAATACGGCTCCTACGAGTACTTAATGATGCCGTTGGGACTACAACGCACCAGCGATATTCCAGGCTGAGATGAACCATATCCTTGGCCCCTGTTACACAAGTCTGTGGTGGTGTACCTAGACGACATGCTCGTCTACTCCAATAACATAAAGGAGCACATGGAGCATCTGCAAAAAGTATTCAAGATTCTGCGGAATAATAGATTCTACGTGAAGCAATCTAAGAGCGACTTCGCCCTAAAGAAGGTGTATTTTATTGGGCACATAGTGAGTGCGGAGGCCATACACGTGGATCCGCGGAAGATCGAAGCCGTCAGGATGTAGAAAGTTCCTGAGAACGTGAAGAAGTTACAACAGTTCATAGGTTTCACGAACTACTACAACAAGTTCATGCCATAGTACGCTAAGATAGCAGCACCACTGACGAACTTACTGAAAAAGGATACGCCCTACAAATGGGATACTCCTCAACAGCAAGCCATAGAGCAGCTACAGACAGAACTGACGAGAGCGCCAGTACTCATCCTACCGGATCCAGACAGAGACTACGTGGTGGAAGCAGACGCTAGTGACCAGGCAGTTGGAGCAGTACTGATGCAGGATTAGGGACGCGGTTTGCAGCCCATCGCCTACCTCAGTAAGAAGCTACACGCAGCAGAACTGAACAACCCAATCCACGACAAGGAAGTCTTAGCGATAATCATAGCCTTCAAGGCATGCAGGTATTACCTAGAGGGAGCCAAGACTACAGTCTACACTGACCACTACAGTCTCAAATACCTTTAGTCACAGCCTACGCTCTCACGACGATAGGTGCGGTGGGTCGACTTCGTAAAAACTCACTTCCACTATGACATCGTCTACAAACCCGGGCTACACAACAAAGCTGACGTGTAGACCCACCCCGGACATGTCCCAGGCATACAACTCGACACGATGAACCCTTTGCTCAAGGGTCTATTCCAACATGGGTACTCCGTGGACGCAGAGATCGCTACAGCACAAAAACAGAAGCTGTTACAGTGGGAGAAAGACTTAGTGGTAAGGAACGGTTCAGAACAGATTTGGGTACCGAACTATGCCCTGCTCCGACAGATCATACGCGGGATATCTCAAGAGTAACACGACGTTAGCGAGAATAACAAAATAGTACTACTGGCCCCGGATGGCAGCAGACGTGCAGCAGTTCGTCACCTCATGCGACACGTGCCAGCGGATGAAGAGTAGCAGGCAGAAAATAGCAAGGTTACATCAGCCTCTACCCATACCGGAGCAACCATGGCAAGTCGTTAGCCTTGACTTCATCACCAGGCTTCCTTCGACCTCACGAGGGCATGACGCTATACTCGTGGTGATCGAAAAGCTCTCTAAAATGGGACACTTCATCCCGACCAACGCGACGGCTAGTGCTGAAGCAACTACTCGCCTCTTCTTCGACCGCATCATCACAATCCACGGCATTCCCGGTACACTCATCTCAGACAGAGACCCAAAATTCACTAGTAAGTTCTGGAGGGAACTCAAAAGTTTGTTCGCGACAAAGCTTGCGATGTCTTCAGCGTACCACCCCCAAACTGACGTTCAGACTGAGTGACTCAATCAAGTGGTCGAACAGTTACTGCTCATAGCTTGCAAAGACGACATCAGCCACTGGGATCTACAGTTACCGACTCTTAAGTTCGCTTACAAAAACACACGCTTCACATGCGGCCACAGGGAAATCTCCTTTCTTCCTGTGCTATGGACGGGAACTGCTTACACCACAGCAGCCAACCACACCGGCACATGTCCAAGCCGCACACGACTTCGTCACCACCATGCGGCAGCTATGCGACAAGACTCAGCGACGTCTCACCACGATGCAGATCTCCCAGAATCGGTATGCCGATCGACCGCGACGAGATCACTCGGTAGCAGTCGGAGATCAGGTGCTTCTTGACACACACAACTTGGGCCTGTCCCACTTACCGTCCAAGCTTCGGCCTCGCTTCTGTGGTCCCTTTCGCGTTGAGGCGATGGTGACTGTAGTTTCATTCCGCTTGCGCTTACCTACTACGTGGAAGCTTAACAATGCTTCCCATATTCAGCTACTAAAACCCTACAAGGACCCCAACCAACAGTTCTAGGGACGGAAGCTACTGCCACCACCACCTGTACTCGTACAGGATAAACCAATATACGAGGTGGAATGCGTTCTCACTCATCGGCGCCGCGGCGGCAAGACCCTCGAGTTCCTGATACGTTGGAAGGGATATGACCCATCGGAGGACAGTTGGGTTGCAGAAGCTGATATGGGCAACGCACGCCGTGCTCTCAAGGATTATCTTGTCAAGCAGGGTGTTTCTCACGCCACCCTGTTTTGAGGGGGGGGGCGTGTGAAAGTACGACGGCTTATGCTTGCTTTGCTTGCTTGCCTTGACTTTATTCTGCTATCTCTAGCTTAGGTTTATTTTTTCATGCATGCTTATGCTACATTTTCTAGCTACGGTGCTTTCCTATATTTTATTATAGCTGTAGCATCGAACCAGGTTGCGTGTTCCGAATTCCAGACCTTTCGGTTGCCACCAAATTGCCTTCTACCGAATTCGGGAAGGCTCCATTCGGGACGCTTCGCGACCCTCGGAACCTTCACGTAACACCTGGGTTACTGGCCTTGTGTCGAGACTATATATAGCCTCGTGTTGTACCCAGGTGAATCAATCAATTCATTTCTCTTTTCTGAGCTCGATCCTAACGATCCTCATAGCTAATGGGGGTGGATTCAGAAGGCAGTGGGCTGTGAGGGTAGCGGTTGTAAGGGAGGATAGTATCATGGTCAGATTGGGTTCTTGAGGATGTGAGGGAGTCATAGGAGTTACTTGATGAACCTCCTGGTGGGATGCCGATGGGTTTTGGGGACCCTTTGGGTCCAGCTGCTTCCTCTGTTGCCTCTAACTCCTTGTGCGCGATGTAGTATTCTATCGGCTCCTCTTCCTGTGCTAGAGTAGTTCTCCATTGTCTAGCTGCTGTGCTGCTTCCTGCTCCCCAGCTAGTGTTAATAGTTGTTGCTGCAGTTGTTCCCCATGCCACTGCTTCATGTCTTGTGCCCCATCCAAGGTTGGCGGTGGCTACTGCTGCTGGTGCTGCTTCTGCGGCTGCGCGGCGGCAATTCTCTTCTTCTTCCAGTCGTTGGAGCTTCTCAGAGGTCATGTTGGGACAAGACCAGGGGAGAGTGACGTGATAGGTTTCCCAGTCCAATGGCAAAGAATTGTTGTCTACCTCAAAGGCACCATGTCCTGTGTAGCGTGTAAGGAGATGAAGGTGGTCGTGCACGGTGGGATTGTTGTGTGTCTTGCGGGGTTGGAAGATGGTGAGTGCTTCAGCGAGTTCAGCATCTCTCATTCCTGTGGAGTGAGGGATTTGCCATTCTTCCTTTTCAGCGATATCAAGGGGAGTAGGTGGTTCTTTTTCTTTTGCTGGTGCTGCTGCCTCATCAACTTTCGCTTTTCCTTATTCTTCAGCCATTGTTCTCCGCTTGTACCCTGATACCAACGTCTCGCCTTTCTTGTCTGCTGGTGCTTTGCCCTTCTTGTCTGCTGGCGCTTTTCCCTTGTCTGCCTTGTCTTTTGTAGTGGAGGCTATGGGTGTGCGGCAGTTGCGACATAGGCCATCTGGTCCAGGTGCATGGAGGTCGATCTCCCTGGGGTGAGCGTGATGCTTGATCCAGGGGCGCCCATCACGAGGGGTAAGTTCGTATGGCTAGACAGCGCGTTGTGGTTGGAGGTTGACGAGATCTTCAGAGTCTGCGCGGCAGTCTGGGATATCGAAATCCAGAATGTAGACGCCGTTGTCAGGGCGCGCCTTGTCAATGTTGCGCTGTTCAAAGTCAGGGCGGCTGTAGTCTTTCCAGTGTATAAGGATGCACCGACTGTCTGGGTCTGTGGTCATTAGGACGCCGGTGTTGACGAGCTGCTCGTAGGAGAGCAGCTTATACTTTAGATCCCGCACGATGAGAACGACGTTGAGCGTGATGTAGATGTCCCGCGCTTTGAGAACAACAATGTCGCACGTTTGAGCTTCGAGTTGTTGGTTGTTGGCCACTGTGACGATGGTGGTTTGTGGGATGTGTCGTCTGTTTGAAATGAAGCGCTTGGATCCCACCCTGTGTTGCCCACAGCAACTGTCGAGATACGACGTGTTGTAGGCGTGCTCGATTTTGCATTGAAAGCGCAAGGTTAGGGGTGTTCCGAAAAGGGATGCGCTTGTCGCCACCATAGTGGTAGTTGTCGACTGGCCGGGTGTCGATGTAATGTCCAAAGTAGTAGTTAGTGATGGTCGACGAATTGATGAAATCTTCGTCGTGTGGCGGCGACTCGAGCAGAGGGATCGACAAGTTCCAGTCTTGCTCATGTTCGTCGAAGACGAATTCCCCGTCTTGCGTGAAGGGGTTGTTCTAGGTGGTGAATGCGACTTCTTGTCCAGACGGGGTAGGAGATATGGATCGTAGGTGTCTGCGATTGGTGCGCCGAGTGCTGCGGTGAACACGCTTCGCCATGTTGCCGATGACGTGGCGAACGTTGTCGTCGTTGTTGTTGTTGTTGTTGTCGTCGTCGTCGTCGTCGTTGTTGTTGTTGTTGTTGTTGTTGTTGTTGTTGTTGTTGTTGTTGTTGTTGTTGTTGTTGTTGTTGTTGTTGTTGTTGTGCGGCGGCCTTTGTGAGTCGGACTGAACTGGTTGGCGCGAGGCTGGCCGATGGTTCGAAGACGGTCGGTTTGCCTTGCGCGACTGATCGAGGTCGAAGTTTGGATTGTTGCGTGGTGCAAGGTCATGCCATGGTCCCGAGCGGCAGCGTTCGGTGGAGTGATCGAAGGTTTGCAATCTTTGCAGTAGTATTGCCGTGGCGCGAATCGCGGGGTCGTTGTTGATTGCGGTGGGAGTTGAAAACATTTTGCTCGCGGCATGTCCCCTTTTCCTAGTTAAAGTCCATGTCTTGCTGCTCATGCAGCAGGGTGGCACCGAGGTGCGCTTCTGAGACTGTGCCTTGCTGGCGAAGCAGGGCTTTGCACGGCGTTCATTGAGGTCCCAGGCCCCGAAGCACGATTGTGACGAACATGTCCTCGGGGATGGAATTACCGAGCTTCAAGAACTGGTTGCGGACGCTGCGACATCGATTGATGTAAGAATTTGCCTTTTTGTCAGGCGTCCTTTTTACTTCCATGAGTTGCTGGAGGAGGCGACTCGAGGACACGGAGTCTTTGGGCTGGTAAGTTTTGGTGAGGTGACTCCAAGCTGCCATAGTGGGGGCTGGATGAGTTTTGGAAGGGCGAATGCCGATTTGTTCGGCTGGCGGCATGTTGCGAAGTAGAATACTACATGCCATGAGTGGCTCATTGTAGATTTTGAATTCTTCAATTCTGACTGAAGCATGTTAATATGCTAAATTGGCCTGTCTGGGGGTGAATTTGCTGCGTCACAGGGTAAATTCGTTGCGTTAGATGCGAATATGCAGCGATAGGGGGGCAAATTGCTGAGTCAGGGGTGAATTTGCTGCGTCAGGGGCGAATCTGCTGCGATCGGGGGGCGAATTTCCTGCGTGAGGGGGCGATGTTACTGTGAGAGGCGAATCAGTTGTGAGTGGTCAAGGGTTTCTGGCAGCATTCCAAGCGAAGAATGTTTTGCTGGCTTGGTGCTCACCAAAAGCATCCCCCCAACTTCAGTAATAACTATAGTGTTCAAAACACCTTAGGAAAATTATGCCATATGATAAGACCCGGGCGGTTTTTTTTTTTTTTTTCCTTTGTTAAGACCCCCCCTAATTTTTTCTAGGGATTTAGCGTAAAACGCTAGGGTATTATATCCGGGGGATTACGGTAGTTCGAGCTCGAAGCTCCACGTGTAAAAGTCACACCCGTTAAAGGCGGGGTGCTTGTGCGAAGCTTAGAGATAGCCAAAAACTTGTTCGAAGCTGTGAGCATGGCTTTGTTACTTGGACGAGAAGCGGTTGGGCCGGAAGAGTTCGATCCAAGGTCGAAAGTGGTTGGGTTTGGTTCCAGATCCGAGGATTGTACGGTCATGCGGCTCCCACTCAAGCGCCCGCCAACCCTACCGCGAACTCCGCGGGCAACACCACCATCAGTAATGCGCTTCTGGAGCAACTCATCCAGCGAATCACCACGCTCGAATTAGGAATTCAACAACTCAAGAGCGACAACCTGGGACCTCCAGCCATGTTTCGGCGGGAGTGGGTACCGGATGCCACCTTGGATTCGAATTTGAATCAGATGTGGTGATGTGAAGAATCCTGAGTTGCTCTCATACCATGCTACAATCTGAAAATACTTTACAGGATCGTCTCAGGTTGATCGCACGTAGTGTAGCAGTGGAAGGTTTGCTAGTGAAGTCGGGTACGGACCCTAACAGAAGAGGGAGATTTGACTCTCGATAGAAGTGACAAATACAACGCAGTGCTGGGGGTTATATAGGAATACAATGGAATACAAAAGGTCCTAGCTAGCCATCTACTCTGAGGGGGTACATTCCTCTTAGGGCTAATCTAGATCGAGAAAACCAACCGTGCGCTTCGGTAACGGTACGCGCCATGGTAACTATTTGAATATTTTCCCGCGCTTGCATTTTTAATTCTTCCTACTTTAAACCGTCTTCGATGTTGGGCTGAGAAAAGCCCTTAGGATTGTTTTTCAAGACCAAGATTCGGGGTAACAGTGTAATTTGGGGAACCGTTTAATGAACTGGTTGAACCACCTTGTGCTGATCTGTGAGGACAAGATAAGTTGATTATATCAAGGAAATACAAAGTCATTTATATGATTACAAGGAATACACAAAGTTTTAACTAACTACTCTTACAACTGCTGTTGCAATTTGATGCAGCGACGACTCGGGCAACTGCTCAATGACGAGTCAGTTATGTGTCCTTGTTGTCGTGCTGCTTTTCGGCGAGTCCAAGGTCGCTGACTTTTGACCTTTGCTTAACCTCTTGTTGTTGCTTTTCTTGTCAACCACTTCACCGTAGTTTCGGTTGACTCGGTGATGCTTCGCAGTAGTCTGCTCCGTTTATGTTGTAGTGCTTGACACATCAGAAGCGCGAACTGTACTGTTTCCAACACTCCCCTTCGCTTCTGGAGTGTCATCGCCTTCGTTGCTGGTGACGTGGCCTTGTTCAATCAGCAGCATGCAGTACTCGAACTTCTGTTTTCCAAGTTTCTTGGTCAAGTAGTCTACTTCCATCTCGGATGTGGGGCAGCCGGTTAGCTCGAGTCTTCCTTCCTCGATCTCGACTTTTATGAAGAAATATCGCAAGGCGATGTGCTTCATCCGGTTCGCGAACCCGTTCTTGTTCGCTATGCGAATGGCTGATTGGTTGTCGCAGAAGATGGAGAAGCTGGGTAACTAGGCCAGCTTCGCTTCCTCCATCAGTTCGCGAAGATACAGTCTTTCCTTGGTGGCTGTGCAGAGTGCAATGTACTCAGCTTCAGCGGAAGAGAGAGCAATTAGCTCTTGCTTGCTCGACTGCCATGAGATAAGACCAACAGGCTCGTAGATCCAGTCTTATGGTAGGTTAGCCCGATCGTAGGGGTGCTGACGAGGTAGTGCAGCGCGCAGTCGAGTTCCGCCATGTGCTCAGCTTCAGGCTTCTTGAGGTAAGTGGCGAGTTGGCTCGCCGAGTAGGACAAGTCCGGTCGGCAGGTGATGGCTGCAAAGAGTAGGCAGCCTAGCTTTCGTTGGTAGTCGTGTAGGCTGGCGGGTCTGAGTGGGTTGGATCCTTCCTGCTGATTCCCGCGGTGTAGCGATAAGGGGTGGAGATGACGGTCGGCGTCAGTCCGAAACGTTTCGCGATGGTGTTGGCGTACTTCGCGGCGGTAAGATAGATTGTGTTTTCTCCTTCTAGGATGTTTAGTCCCGGGTACTGAGTCACGGTAGAAGAGACCGTGAGGGAGAGATCTCGCTGCAGCTCCCCTTCGAACCAGGTGGTGATGCCGTCGAATTAAGCTGATCTACAGTAGATCGTCCACATAGACGATAAGCAGAATGTAGTCCATTCCCTTACTGAGTCGGTACATGCCTTGATCGTGCGGGAGCTGTAGGAATCCGATGCGGATTAGTCGGGCGTGTAGGTACTGCTGCCATAGCCGCAGGGCCTATTTGATGTTGTACAGCGACTTCAGTAGCTAACAGACTAGATTGGGGTCTGTGGCGGAACCGTCTGGCTGTTCGACGAAGATTTCGACGTCGACGGGAGCATAGAGAAACGCATTAGCTACATCGATTTGACGAAGCTTTTTCAGCTTCATGGTGGCTATCGCGAGGAGGATTCGCAGAGAGATATGTCGGCTGACCAGTGCGAAGGTCTCGGTGAAGTCTCGTCCGTGCTCTTGATCAAATCCACGCACGACCCATCATGCTTGAAATTGTCGATTGTTCCGTCGGCTTTCGTCTTCACTTGGAAGACCCATTTTCTCGTGAGTATGGTTTTGTTGCGTGCCACTCCGATGGGTACTATTTTCCAGGTGTTTCGGTCTTCCAGCGCCTTTAATTCCCTGTCCATGGCTTCGCGCCATTTTTCCCTGTGCTCCCCCCCTAAAGCTTGCTGAACTGTGAAAGGCTCCTTTGGCGACGATGCTCCGTGGACGGCGGTGACGAGGCCGAGTATCTGCAGTCCACTCTGTGAGAGTCGGGGGAGATTTGCGTCCTCGGGATAAACTGCTTCGTCTCCTGATTTTGGGTCAGGTAAGAAATTGGGGCCGATACGTTCGGAATCGTTGGTGTTGACGAGCTGTGGTGAAATGTAACCGTTATCGGCAAAGTCGTAGTAGACTTCGGCGTTGATGCTTTCGCGAGGGTTGTCTTCGTGCATCGGGATGGGTACCGAGCAATAGGGCAGAGGTCCGGCTTCTTCCGAGGCTCCTTCCACGTTCTGCTCATCCCAGTCAGCTTCATCTGCTGACGAGGCGAAGGCGCGGTTGCCACCGAAGCCACCTGTGGGGTCTCGTTGAGTTTCCAAGTTGGCCAGGTATGTTAGAAGGGTGAGTCGCTCGTAGAAGATAACATCACGTGCTGCTACTGTTTCCTTCGAGTGGACGTAAAAAATCTTCCACGCGTTGTAATGTTTTTCGATGCCCAGGTGTAGCCCCCATTGTGCGCGTTGTGAAAATCGTCCGGCTTGTGCGGTGTGCAGTTAGTACTGTACCATGCAGCCGAACACTCGTAACATTTCTGTGTTGCCCAGTTTTCCTGTCCACAGCAGGTGCGGTGATGTGTTGTTCGGAAGTGAGGACGACGAGAGCAAGTTGTGCAGCATGACAGCATGGTCCATTGCTGAAGGCCAATGGCTCTCGGGCAGTCGCATGCCACGTAGCAGCTTGCGCATGGTGTTCTGGAGGGTTATGTTTCTCCTTTCTGCTACGCCTTGCTGTTGATGAGCGTAGGGAAGGGAGATGAGCCGCTTGATGCCTCTCTCCACCAAGTACTGCATGAACCTTTGTGACTGATATTCCCCTCCCCCGTCTGATCGAAAGCTTTTCAGCTTTACTCCTGATTCCCTTTCTGCTACTGGTAGCTAGGCGACGAAGGCTTCGAAGGCCATGTCGCGACTCGGAAGATTAAGATGCCAGACGTATCTGATGGCGGCGTCGATGAAGGTGATAACGTAGTTGTAGTCTCCTTGTCCACTATCGCGGACAGTATGTCGCTGTAGACTTTTTTCAGTGGTGCGTATGCTGCCACGCTTGGGTTGTGGTGAGAGACGAACGGTTGATGCGGTAAGTCGGCTTTGGGGCAGGTAAAGCAAGTTCCACGAACCCGTTGTAGTTCTCTGGCGTCGGGTAAGAGTAGCGAATCCTTATCAAGAACGCATGCTCTTATCGTGTTGTTGAGTGTTGTGTTGCTGGGGTGACCTAGTCTCTCGTGCCACTGTGATTCGTCGGCGCGATGTTTAGGTGACCGTCTGTACAGGTCGGAGTTGGAGTAGAAGCTGGCGACGATGTTGGCGCTTCGGTGGATGGCTCGTGGGACTGGAGTCAGTTGTCGGGCTGGAGTTGGTGTTGGTTCCTCGAGAGGAGGTGGTGCCACTGAAGGTCCTGTGACAGGGAGGTTTGGTGTTGGTGCTGTTCCTGTTGCTGTTGTTGTCTCTGCTGCTTCCTGTTGTGTCACGGCTAATGCTCTTGTGCGTTCTGCCTTAGGTATCGTGTGTGAGTACCAGAAGAATCCGGGACTTAAGTCGGGGTCAAGATCTGGCGGATGCATCCAATTGGTAAAGCTTATGATCCCGTCGCTGTCGGCGGTGCCCTGGTCCGGGACGAAGTCGAGGACGAAGACGTTGTTCTTCAGGACCGCCTTCCCGATGTAGAGTCTGCCCTTCCCATTGTACAGTTTGAACTCCTGAGTGGTGCTGTCGGCTTCAAGGTGAATCCCCTTCGCCATGAGTTGACTGACGCTGAGTAAGTCGTAGCCAAGTCCTTCTGCGATCAAAACTTTGGACATTTGCAGAATAACGTTAGTTTCCCGTGACTGTAACTGGACCACCCTTGTCTTCTTGTGCGCAGGTTCTGGTTGTTGGCGACGGTTATCACGACTTCGCGATTAAGGCGTTGTTCCTGTTGAACGAAACGATTTGAGGAGCACATGTGTTGTCTGCAACAGCTGTCCAAGAACCAAGTGTTCTTCCTGGATGGTTCGCTCTGGGC